TCATTAATAGCAAAATCAAAAATGTATGCTGGTACATTTGTAACTCTCAATGTTTACCTCAAAAGTTTAAGGTATTGTTTATTGACGTCATAAATACAACTCTACGAAAACGCATTGTCAACGTCATAAACAAAGTTATATACGGTCAGTGACTGTATAGCACTAATGAGTAAACGCTGGACGTTAAGCAGCCATTCATCATTGCAACGCGAACTGTTTTTGCTATTACTTCAAGTATATATATATTATCAAATAAATTAAGGAAAGAAAAAAGCACGTTTTGTAATTCGCACTTGAAGCAAACCAAGGCTGTAAATTTGAACTTTAAAGAATATAAGAAAAGCCACAATTGGATTTCTTATATGATCCTCTTCAATAGCCTCAATACCAGATTAAAACAATCTCCTGATATGGGCTCCATAGTCAATACGTTTTGAATTTGTTTTTTTTGTGAAAATAAGATGATTTTGTGAACTAAAGGCTTCAGGAAAACCTTGACTGGAACCCACGATCCAAAATAATCTTTATAAATATATAGTATACATTTATCTGTCGCTACAAAATAAAAGAAAGAGCAAAATACCATTTCGGAAGATATTTTCCTAGATTGAAACAATGTTTTATTAACTGCCATTCTATGATAGAGCCAGGCAGATTTCAATTCCAGTGGGTTCCCAGAATTTCATGAAATGTAATGTATGCATTGCATATATATTGAAAATATGAAATGTATATTTTTTTTTAATTTAAGGGGTCTTTTAGGGGGTTAAATGTTTTCAACCTAATGTTGGCGCAATTTTGCTTCACAAATGACAATGTTTTCATCAAATATTTGTCTGCCTATTGCACTACATCTGATTTTTTTCATAGTTTAAACAAGTTATTATATAGTTAATTTGACTTTTCCATTCCTTTAAATATCTTAAGTTTTTTTTTTTAAATATTTTGGTCAAGGGAGATAACCCATTACCTAAAAAAAAAACAACAAAAAAAAACACATTTTAAAAATGCAAAAATTAAATACAGACGCTTTACATTTTATGAAATTGTTTATTACTGAACATTTATCACCTATATTAAAATTAACTTAAATATTTTACTCGGGTTCAAATTTATTTTCATCTAGTAGCAATTTAAAAATAGTGATTTTTTTATGAAATATTGGACATATTTTTTTCTGAATTTGGCTCTATCATATTTTCAGAGTTTTAAGTTTGAACTTTTGTGTAAACTAAGCAATAAAATATACAAAACTGTTTTAAATAGCTTTAATATTCAAATAAATCAATAATGGATTGGATCCAAAATAAAAAAAAAAATTATTGAATACCCCCCTTTTTTCTTTAAAAAACCAACGTCAATATTAAGTTAAATAACATGTTGTATACACTTATTCACTGGTGCAAGTTTGCACGTACATTATTTGTTACTCATACTTTCTCTTTTTATCTAATTAAAAGACCTTTATCAAAAGTGTATTAGAATGATTTTGGAAAACAAAGGGGTTGGTGGAGAACTTATGCATGTTTCAACCACACAAGGACTGAATTTCAGAAAAATAAGTCTTTTTTATACATAGAATCTGATTTTGCATATCTAAAACTACATTTTGAAAGTTTTCATGATTTAATGAATAATAACAAATAATAATTAGAATTGCCATTGCAAGCAATAGCAGATGTCACCCTGGTCCGCCAATTGCCCCTAAACAGCAGCAATTTCGACCTTTTCAAATAGTGAAAGCAGTTATATTCATAACAATTGTGCTGTTTCCATGGCAACGGCGGCCATTTCGAAAAATCAAAATTCAAATGACAAATCTACATATGATGTTTAACATAACTGTAAAGTTTCATTAAGTTTTGAGCATTTTGACATTTTTCGCATTGTTTCCATGGTAACGGCAGCCATTTTGGAAATTCCAAAGTTAAATGTCACATCTACAGTCAACATTGCTGTAAAGTTTCATAAATTTTAAAGAACTTTGAAATTTTTTATATTTTTCATCAGTTTCCATGGCGACATCGTAGTTCCGAGGAATCTCAAAATCATCCAAAACAGGTATATAGAGGACAACTACATTGCATAAAAAATGATGATTAAATGTCAAGGCGTACTCAAATTATTCACCAAAAACTAAAATTTTATTTTTTCTCTCTTTTTCTGTCTCCATGGTAACAACGGCCATCTTGGAGGTGCCAATCTCGACTGCACTTCTGCCAATGGTGGGGACTATTATTGTTTAGTTCCATTACGATTGGTCCATACGATTCCGAGAAATAGTCTGGACAAAAATAATAAACACTAGATTTGAAATTGCTAGCAATAACGGATGGCACCCTTCCCCCATTGTCAGGGTAACGGCAGCCATTTTGAAAATTCCAAAGTCAAAGAGTGCATCTACACATGCTGATTAACATTTTTGTAAAGTTTCAATAAGTTTGGAGCATTTTGAAATGTTTGACATTTTTGCAGTTTCCATGGTAACGGCGGCCATTTTGAAAATTCCAAAGTCAATCTGGAAATCAGCACATGCCAGTTACCATTTCTGTGAAGTTCCTTTCCATTTGGGACACTTTGATTTTTTTCGCATATTTGCTGTTTCCATGGAAAGTTCCTTTCCATTTGGGACACTTTGATTTTTTTCGCATATTTGCTGTTTCCATGGAAACGGCAGCCATCTTGAACCAATCCATACCAAGGTGTACAACTTACATAGGGGTTTTCATTATAGTCAAGTTCCAACAACATTGGTCCATCAAATTCCGAGAAACACGAAGGACAAAATGTGTGGAAGAAGAATAATAAAAACTAGATTTGCTATTGTAAGCAATAGCGGATGGCATCCTTCCCACATTGCCACTAAACTGCAGCCATTTTGAAAATTTGAAACAGTATTTACACATAAATACATTACAACATATCTGTTTGTAAATTTTTTAGAAAGTTTTGAAGCATTTTTGAAATTTTTGAATTTTTTGCTGCAGTTTCCATAGCAACTTAGTAGTACCAATCATTGTCAAAATCATCAAAAACCTGCATATAGTAGACAACTACATTGTATCAAAATTTAATGATATTAAGTTTAAGAACACCCAAATAATTCACCAAACCCAAACATTTAATGTTTTCACCTTATTTCAGTTTCCATGGTGATGGCAGCCAATTTTTAGTTCCAAAGTTGCACTGCAACCCGAAAGTCAGGGTTCCTTGATATAGTGAACAACCATTAAGATTAGTTCCTGTGGCTCTGACAAAACTCCCGGTCAAAATTTGGTGGAAGAATAATAATAATAATAATTAGAATTGCCATTGCAAGCACTAGCGGGTGTCACCCTGTTCTGCCAAATGCCACTAAACAGCAGCCATTTCGAAATTTTTTTATCAGTGAATGCAGATTTATGCATGACAATAGATCTATCTGTTTTAAATTCCAATGAATTTGGAGCATTTTGATATTTTTTGTATTTTTGCTGTTTCCATGGTACCGGCCGCCATTTTAAAAATTCCAAAGTCAAACTACTGCTGCATATTGTTTTCCCCATAATAATATACCATCATTTTACATTTAAGAGCCAATCCGCCAGAAAACCATGCAATATTCAGAAAATCGTCCAAATCGACAATCACAACTTGAAAAATTTTTATACATCATCTTAATCCTTGACATAAAATAAAAGATTTGACCACTTAATTTTTCCCAGAATCGTATCTATTTTTAGTAACAGCCTCATTTGCATAATTCTGTAAATTCATAATGAAACCAAGGAAGAATCCAACTTTTTTATGCCTTTTAAGAATGACCCAGAAGCATATTAAATGGGGTAGTTGAGTTTTTATAGTAATGTCAGCTGAAACATCCATTTTACTATGTTATGATCAATACAAATGAAAATTTAAACGATTTGGCACATTGCCAGGAGCAGGGACACAAAGGCGGGGTTTTTCATACATGAATTTACGTGGTTTTCATTCGCTTCTATCTTGCAAGACCCATTTCGGATTTGTTTGCAACTTTTATCGGTTTCAACTATGGGGTATGTTTTATATCAAAACAAAATATTAAGCTTGGCAAATGAATATTATATGTTAATCTATGCCTTGGAAGAATGGTGATTTTAGTCCCAAATTGACACATTTTGATTTTGATTTTAATTAAATTCTTAACACAATTGGTACTAAAATGGCTCATAAAATCATTCGAACAAGTAAAATCAATTTGTCTGAAAAATGAAATAAGACGTATTTGTACTGCAAGTCCAAAAACCAATAAATTGTCTGAAACCAGGGAGTCCATCTTTTATGCTCTTCCATTGACTTATCTCCCTTGGGTAAGATCTCAAACATGTCAGCTCCCAGTGATGGTTTGGCAGACAATTGTTACAGTGAAGTTTGTGACGTTAATTATCTAGGATGAGCATGTGGGCTATCCCAGCCTTATACATCTACATATTACAAACTATTTAAGATATCTGAATGCACTAAGGACCAAAATAGCATTTCCAAAAAAAATAATTACTGCCAAGAAATTTGACAATCTGACATGACAATAATTGTAATGAATAAACATGATAAATATTGATTGGAAAAATAAGTCCATGAACAGCAAAAAGTGTTTTTAGATTTCAACGAGCAAAACAAAAGTATTCTAAATCATTCTTCGTAAAAAAAAAAGTGAGCGATTGGAACCACCTTGTTCGCACCAAAATTGAGGTTGAGAGTGTCAAAACTGCTCTGGCGCACCATCAATAAATCAACGACACTCTCTCTACCGTGGTATTGAAACCAGCATTGGTAACCAAACATATTCGTACAGATACAGACTACTATTCATCTACATTTAGGAAGTCTGAATAATACTGAAAACTATGGTGTAGAATTTCCAACAGGACTCCTTTTTTTAAATAGGACAAGGAGTGGTTTATTTTCCCATGGTTGTTACATCATCTTGTCTTTGAATATGCTCGAAGTACAGGGACTTTTATGGAATTCATTTGATAGTCAAGCAAGATGTCAACATCTCGTCCAACCCTCTTCCAGCAAAGCCAAAGCTGACCAAGGATCTTCACCCTTTCAGAACAGGCTGTATACAGGACGAGTTATTCCAGTAGGAACAGGTACAAATCTTACAATCAATTTTCATTTGTTCCATATAGTCAATCTGAAATTAGGGGACCAACAATTGATACATTAGCTAGATTAAAAAAAGGGGGGGTGGGTGTTGAAGGGGCATGTGAATATTCTTTTACACCTGACCTGTTTCTAAGACATCTTATTTGTTTCCTATGGCAAAGTGCAAGCAAATAATATATATCCGTATATACATTGTTCTGTCTTGGGACCATTTGATTAAAAAAGCAAGGGGGAGGGTTAGAATGGTCAAAATATTTATGTCCTTGTCAGCTTAGGACAGAATTTTAATTTTCAAGCTATTAACCAGGGTACAATTTACATGTATATTTATTTTCTGCTTTAAAAAATCAATTTATAGACCAGAATCATGATAATAATCAAAATCTATTTCAACATATTCAACGTTTAGCAGGTCAGGTTTTTATTCTCTTCCCCTAAGTTATATTTTCAGTTCTTACTGGAAGTTGTGCAGCTCTTTGTCTACTAAAAAAAACTTTTATCTCGTGGAAAAGCCTCCTACAAATACATGTTTTACATACAACAAACTGTACATGTAACACTAGACAACTTTATCCAGAGAATAATATTTTTTAATGAACTAATAGGCCATGGAGACTAAAAAAATCAAAAGCATTGCAAACTTTTGTAAAGTTCAATTTTAGGACCCTACATGTACATGTATGTAGATTACTTATAGAGCCCTTTTTAAAAGAAAAAACATACATTTAAACTACATGCACAGTGATGCTACACTACCCTACATTTCCTGTCTGATATATTTTATTTCATGTAAAACAAAATTGAAGAATTATTTTATTGTTTAACACTCTTTATTTGTAGGGCTATATATATGCAAGCAATGCTCAATTAAGATGAATTTTTGTAAAAGTGACAATAGCCAGGTCAAACTAAATACATGTATAGAAGAAGATATTGGTAAGTTATTATTATTAAACTTATATATTAATTTAACTGTTTGTATAACATGGTAATCATACAAAGTATATGTAATCACTTATATAATAACATAATTATACAATTACATGTTATACATTCGTACATCAGTTTTATTAAACAGGTCTTTGTTAACTTGGTTTTCCCATTGAAAAATCACTTTGCTAATTTTAATTTGTAGTACTATATTGGGCGGCTCCCATAGTTTCCATTCAATAACTAACAATGACTAATGAACTGTTCATACATTCCATTTCAATTATTTTATTTATTAATACGTATTACTTTTACTGTTAAGTCTGTTTTTTGTGATATCTATTTTACGTGACTCTGTATTTATGTATCCCGTCATACTTTGAACGACAAAATTATTTTATGTCTACCTGTGCGAATTTCAAATGCGCGATTTTACGCCAGTACTTAAAACCTCCATCCTTTATGGGTGGATTTTACATAGATATATAAATTTATATAATATAAGCAAAATGAGGATGTTAAATTTGATGTATGCCTTTTTGTGCTTCTTCGTTACATTTGTTTGTTTTTATAGTGATTAAGATAATAACACAATGTTGACTGCTGTACCCCTATTTTTGACAATTTTACCTATTGTGTCTGTTTGTTTTGCTCACGCAAGTGAGAGGTTTATTATCTAGCTATAAAACCAGGTTCAATCCACCATTTTCTATATAAGAAAATGCCTGTGCCAAGTCAGGAATATGACAGTTGTTATCCATTCGTTTGATGTGTTTGAACTTTTGATTTTGCCAATTGATTGGGGACTTTCCTTTTTGAATTTTCCTCGGAGTTCAGTATTTTTGTGATTTTACTTTTTCAAATATAAAAGGGGGAGATTTATATTGGTACTTTTGAAGATATTTCACCTGTTCGATTAATTGATTGGTTGTTGGTAATGCTTATGTCCTATGGCAAATAGTTCATGCATGTTTAGGACAAGAACAAATTAAAATAAATACATTATTTGGGTTCCTAATATGCTAAATCTAACAATGTATTTAAATAATTTAAGATGTTGCAATTTGGCCCCATTTTAAATTGGTTCACATTGATTTCAAAATGGTCCAAAATTTTTTTTCTTATTTCTACACAACTTGAATTCTTGAGGTTCTTTTGATATACAAAATGCAAATGTTTTATATTTAGATTTTTAATTTTGGTCCGGTTTTCAAATTTGTCCACATTTTAAAGTCCTAAGGGTCCAAATTTTAACTTAGTTTAATTTTAACAAAACTTGAACTCTAATTACAATGAATTAGGGTTCTTTGAATGATAAATAGAAATAATTAAATATCCTGAATATAAATATGTACTTAGATTTATGATTTTGGTCCCAGTTTTCAAGTTGGTTCAAATGGGGTCCATAATTTAACTGTGTTTGATTTCAACAATAATTTTAAAGATGCTGATTCAGCCTGAATCTAACCTGTATTTAGTTTTTGGGCCCTATTATGAAATTGGTTTACATTGAGGTCCAAAAGGTCCAAAATTAAACTAAATTTTAAATCTTAATTTGATCTTGGGGTTCTCTGATATGATAAATTTATTAAACTTTATCTTTATACCACATTTATTCTGTGTTAGAAACCTATTCTTTGTCAAATATGTAATGCCATTACAAATTTAGAGCTGTTATCGCTTGAATGTTCTGTCCAAACTTGCATTTTTCTTCATCTTCCACAAAATTTGTCCTTTTCTAAGATAACTGGTGTTATCTTTTTGAATGAAACTTTAGTGAAAAGAAAAGCACAATATGTGGATGATTATCTGATGTCAAACATTTTCAAGATGGCCACCAAGGATGGCACAAATTTCAACACTGGTTAATTTATTGAAAATTGTTAATTAGGGATAATCGTGGTAGTTTGACTTGCTAAACAAAGTAAGGTTGTTTTTTCTTCCAAAATGGCAAACATTTTCAAGATGGCCTTATATGAAAATTGACATTAAGGAATTATAGCACTTTTGACATGCCAACAAAACAATGAAATTTTTTTTTAAAGATGGACACAGCAAATAAAGGGTAAAATTTTCAATTTTGTTGAGTTTGATTTTAAAGAATATTGATATTTAGCTGTACTTTGACACAGAGAACAGATATAAAGTTGGCCACTATTTCAAAGATTGTCACTAAAAGCGGTCAAATTATCACCATTGTCTGTTTTCAATGTAAAATTATATTGAAAGGTAATTTGACATGCCAAACCAAATGGAGGCAATTTTTATACGACCGCAAAAACATTTTGCGGTCGTATATTGGTATGACGTTGGCGTCGTCGTCGTCCGGCGGCGTCGTCGTCCGAAGACACAGTTGTTTTCGCACTCTTACTTTGGTTTAAGTGAATAGATCTCTATGAAATTTTACCATAAGGTTCAATACCACAAAAGGAAGGTTAGGATTGATTTTGGGGGTTATGGTTCCAACAGTGAAGGAATTTGGGGGCAAAAAGGGACCACAAATAAGCATTTTTGTAACTTCCAGACATAACTTATGTGTTAGTGTATGGATCTCTCTGACATTGTACCACAAGGTTCCATATCACAAAGGGAATGCTGGGATTGATTTTGGGGGTAATTGCCTCAAAATTTTAGGAATTATGGGCCAAAAAAGGGGCAAAAAACAAGCATTTTTCTTGTTTCATGACAATAACTTGTTTAAGTGTATGGATCTTTCTGAAATTGTACTACAAGGTTCCATATCACAAAGGGAAAGCTGAAATTGAGTTTGGGGGTAATTGCCCAAAACGTTTAGTAATAAGGGGCCAAAAAAGGGCCAAAAAAAAGCATTTTTTTAGTTTCAAGACAATAACTTGTGTTCAAGTGTATGGATCTCTCTGAAATTGTACTGCAAGGTACCATACCACAAAGGGAAGGCTGTGATTGATTTTGGGCGTCATTGCCTCAAAATTTTAGGAATTGGGGGCCAAAAAAGGGGCAAAAAACAAGCATTTTTCTAGTTTCAGGACAATAACTTGTGTGTAAGTGTATGGATCTTTATGAAATTGTACTACAAGGTTCCATATTACAAAGGGAAAACTGGTTTTGAGTTTGGGGGTAATTGCCCTAAACGTTTAGGAATTTGGGGCCAAAAAGGGGCCTAAAAACAAGCATTTTTCTAGTTTCCAGACAATAACTTGTGTTCAAGTGTATGGATCTCTCTAAAATTGTACTGCAAGGTACCATACCACAAAGGAAAGGCTGGGATTGAGTTTGGGGGTGATAAATCATAAGGGGGTTCAAAAAATTTGGGGGAGGGATTTTTTTTCCTTTTTTTTCTTTAAAATTCTCGATTGTAAATTGGTTATTTCTGATTTATATATCTCTGAAATTGTACTGCAAGGTACCATACCACAGAGGGAAGGCTGGGATTGATTTTGGGGGTAATTACCTCAAAATTTTAGGAATTGGGGGCCAAAAAGGGGCAAAAAGCAAGCATTTTTCTAGTTTCAGGACAATATCTTGTGTGTAAGTGTATGGATCTTTATCAAATTGTACTACAAGGTTCCATATCACAAAGGGAAAGCTGGGTTTGAGTTTGGGGGTAATTGCCTTAAACGTTTAGGAATTTGGGGCCAAAAAGGGGCATAAAAACAAGCATTTTTCTAGTTTCCAGACAATAACTTGTGTTCAAGTGTATGGATCTCTCTGAAATTGTACTGCAAGGTACCATACCACAAAGGGAAGGCTTGGATTGAGTTTGGGGGTGATAAATCATAAGGGGGTTCAAAAAATTTGGGGGAGGGATTTTTTTTTCCTTTTTTTCCTTTTTTTTTCTTTAAAATTTTCCATTTTAAATTGGTTATTTCTGATTTATATATAAAAGCAAATAATAATGATATGGTTTGAATAGGTAAATTAAAAAAATTTAAGTTCTTAGACCACATTCATTCTGTGTCAGAAACATATGCTGTGACAAATATTTAATCACAATCCAAATTCAGTGCTGTATCAAGCTTGAATGTTGTGTCCATACTTGCCCCAACTGTTCAGGGTTCGACCTCTGCGGTCGTATCAAGTTGCGCCCAGCAGGGAGCACTTTATTATTGTTGTAAAGATGTTAAGGGCTATTTGGACATGCTTAAAAGGAGTGGATAATAACTATTCTGAAAAAATGATTTGGCTTTAGTTGGGAGAATTTTGTAACTGCATCCACTTACAGTAAAAGTTGTCAATTTTAATTTCTGTCAGTGGTATATATGAAATTAAAAAAAAAAGTGGTATGATTGCCTATGAGAACAAATGACATAGAAGTAAAGCTATAGGTCTTCATATGCCATATGGCCTTCAACAATGAGCAAGACCTATACTGCATATATATTCAGCCATAAAAGGCCCCAAAATAAGAAAATGAAAAAATATGAAAACTAACAGCCTGATTTATGTATGTATGTTTTGTGGTTTTCAGATCTAGACTCGCAGCTAACCTTTCTGTCAGTGTCAACAACAACTGAACTTTCCCAGCAGTCATCATCAGATTGGGAAACTTATAATGCTTCTAACAGAAACAATTTCAACCAACCAAACAAGCAACAGAAACTTTCCAACTTTAAAACATCAGTTAAATCTTCCATGGGATGATGTCTCAAAAAATAACAGTTCATCATTTATGGAGATTTTAATGTTATGGTTTTTCTTTTACAAGAAAGTTAATGTACACTTGTTTTATAGTAAAACCTATAGCCGTTCAAGTATAAAAAAACACATTCAACTTTATTGAAATTTGAAGATTCATATGACTTATTTTAAATCTGTTATCTCCCAGGATGTGATGTAGAGCATTATAGGTACAGTAATCTTAACAGCTATCCAATTTCATTCAAAATTCTTTATAAATTTTGCACTGGTATATATAGACTAAGTAATTTGTTTTTCGTCTAGTTATGGGATTTTTTTAGGAGCATTTATGATTTTCATGTTTGTATTGACCACATTGCCGCAACATAGATATAGGTACCTGGCAAATCTTGCCTTGTTAGCATACTAGGCTCAAAGGGTCATAAAAAAATTTCCATCACTAAGTGTCTGTTAAAATCATCTGTTTACAGTTTTCACTTTTAAACCATCATCCTAATAACTTTAGAAGAAGTGTCATACATATATCATGTATATATATGTATACAAAATTTAAAAACTTTTCAATATATATATATATATATATATATATATATATTTATAAAAACTATCAACATGACAAGATCTAAATACCCAAATTTTTTCTGAAAAATTGGACATAACATCTATGAGCTATTGTCCCTGAAATGTGTAAACTTACAAATTTTCACAGTTTTCTGCTACTATCCGACAACTATATCAATATATTATAAGAATACATTGCAAAAGTGTTTAGAAGAAACTTTTGTTGAACTTATTCTGAATTGTTTAACTTCTAATTTAAATTTCGCGTTTGAAATATGTGTTTTTTATCGTTTTAGGTGCACAATTTGTCAATACGATCTATTTCGGCTCCTGGGAGCCTCTAGATTTATAATGAATAATTTGTATTTATGTATGATTATTTTCTTAATGTATTAAATGAAACATTAATTATTCTTTTCCATTTGTTGTTATACTTATTTATAAGTCCAGATCCTATCATATGTCAGTAGTTACAAATTAGACGCCAAAATTGAGAAAATTTGAATATGCAGGTTACCCCATTTTGTTGTGGCATATACCAGACACCAACATTATTTGCCGAGCTTGACATTTTTTTTTATTGGGTATATATAGTTATACTTTGCAAGTAGATATGTTGTTTTACAATAATAAGCAGTTCTTGGAGTATTTTGGCTCTGAAAGATGACCAAAATCAGCCATTTTGGACATGTACCTAAATAAGACATATTGAAACAGTTAGATTGTACATACACTTAATAGACAGCATTGTTAATTCTATGCATTCTTACACTTAAAGTGATGTATTACTAGGAACAACTACCAAAAAATTATAAATGTTACCATATTTTTTTTTTATTTAAACCAGCGAAATATGCCAAAAAAGGCTTATTTTTGCTGTTTTTGAGCAATTTCAACTGTTAAAACATGGCGCTCAAAAAATATCCAGATCGGTTCAATATTTTCCCAAAAAAAATTGTGTGGTTATTTACATTACTAAGGTGCACGAATATGCCAAATATGAACTCATTTGGAAAAAGTGACATTCGGACGGTTTTGCATGGTTTTCTGGCAGATTGGCTCTTAATGTCTGTAAACCTATTTTAACACTAATGTTCTGGAATGTTCCATGAAAAATTCACCCCCCCCCCCCCCTCAAATTATGCCAAGGAGACCCCCCAGTTGAAATAAAAATGTTCCATGTTGAAGTGTGTACGAGTCTCTTAATATCATAGAAGTTTCATATAAATTGGAACACATATCTGTTTTTCACATTTTTGCTGTTTGCATGGCAATGGTAGCCATTTTTTTATATTCCAAAGCCAGATGCACAACTATACATGGTGGTAAACATTGTGGTATAGTTCCATCATAATTGGTCCATTCAATTCCGAGAACTAAGCTGGACAAAAAGTGTGGAATAAGAATAGTAAAAAAAAAAGAATCGAACAATAACAATATGTCACCCGACCTCAGTCAGGGTGACATAACTAGATTTGTCATTGCAAGCAAAAGCGGATGTCACCCCTTCCCCCATTGCCACTAAGTGGTAGCCTTTTCAAGAGTTTTAAATATTGAATGCACATATATGTATGGCAATACATCTTTCTGTAAATTTTCAGAAAATTTGGAGCGTTTTGAAACTTTTCCCATTTTTGCTGTGTCCATGGCAACGGCGGCCATTTTGAAAATTCCAAAGAGATATAGCAACTCTGCACATCCCAGTTAACATTTCTGCAAAGTTTTATCAAGTTTGGAGCATTTTGAAATTTTTGGACATTTTTGTATTTGTGCAGTTTCCATGGTAACAGTGACCAATTCCAAAATTTTAAAGACAGACGCCACAATTGCAGATGACTTGGAATATTCCATGAAAGAATCATGGAATTTGACCAACCATTTTAAGTGAGTAAATGCTACTTTAAGAATTTCCCATAGGGTCTAATGGTAAATGTTTCTCCAGTTTCCATGGTAATGGCTGCCATTTTGGAATTTCTAAATATGGTCAACACATCTTGGCATGCTAGGCAACATTCCCATAAACTTTCATTCAGTTGAGTCTTAGAATGAAAGATTCAATGGATTTGCAATTTTGATTTTTTTTCACACTTTTGCTGTTTCCATGGTAACGACAGCCTTTTTTTTAGTTCCAAAGCTGCACTGCAACTCTAAAGTCAGTGATCCTTGTTTTAGTGAACAATTATTAAGATTGATTCCTTTGGCTCTTAGAAAACTCCCGGACAAAAGAAGGTGGAATAATAATAATGATAAGTAGATTTGTAATTGCTAGCAATAACGGATGGCACCCTTCCCCCATTGCCAGGTGAGCGGCAGCCATTTCTTAGAGCGAATCTACAGAGTTGTAATAACATTTTTGTAAAGTTTCATAAATTTTGAAGCATTTTAGAGTTTTAGAAATTTTTGCTGTTTCTATGGTAACGGTTACCATTTCCAAAATTCCAATGATACTAGCAACATTGGCACATAACAGGAACATAACCATTACAGAACCAGCGAGTTTGACCTGCCATAGTATGCATGTAAATGCTTCTTTTCAGTTTTCCTAAAGGGTTTAATGCAAAACATATTTAGTTTCCATGGCAGTATAGTAGTTCCAAATATTCTCAAAATCGTTTAAAACCTGTATATAGTGGACGCCAACAATATTTATAAATTTGATGATTTTAAGTTCAGGCATACTCAAAATGTTCACCAAAAACTAAAATTTTATTTTTTACATTTGTTCTGTTTCCATGGTAAAAGTGACCATTTAAAAAATGCCATACCCCGATTGCACAATTTTATATAGTGGTCTACATTATAATATAGTTCCATCAATACTGTTCAAGCCAATTCTGAGAAATAGCATGGACAAAGAAGTGTGGCAGAATAAATATAATAATAATAATAAGACAAGATTTGCCATTGCAAGCAATAGCGGATGGCACCCTTCCCAACTTGCCACTAAACTGCAGCCATTTTGAAAATTCCAAAGAGATATAGCAACTCTGCACATTCCAGTTAACATTTCTGCAAAGTTTTATCAAGTTTGGAGCATTTTGAAATTTCTGGACATTTTTGTATTTGTGCAGTTTCCATGGTAACAGTGACCAATTCCAAAATTTTAAAGACAGACGCCACAATTGCAGATGACTTGGAATATACCATGAAAGAATCATGGAATTTGACCAACCATTTTAAGTGAGTAAATGCTACTTTAAGAATTTCCCATAGGGTCTAATGGTAAATGTTTCTCCAGTTTCCATGGTAATGGCTGCCATTTTGGAATTTCTAAATATGGTCAACACATCTTGGCATGCTAGGCAACATTCCCATAAACTTTCATTCAGTTGAGTCTTAGAATGAAAGATTTAATGGATTTGCAATTTTGATTTTTTTTCACACTTTTGCTGTTTCCATGGTAACGACAGCCTTTTTTTTAGTTCCAAAGTTGCACTGCAACTCTAAAGTCAGTGATCCTTGTTTTAGTGAACAATTATTAAGATTGATTCCTTTGGCTCTGAGAAAACTCCCGGACAAAAGAAGGTGGAATAATAATAATGATAAGTAGATTTGTAATTGCTAGCAATAACGGATGGCACCCTTCCCCCATTGCCAGGTGAGCGGCAGCCATTTCTTAGAGCGAATCTACAGAGTTGTAATAACATTTTTGTAAAGTTTCATAAATTTTGAAGCATTTTAGAGTTTTAGAAATTTTTGCTGTTTCTATGGTAACGGTTACCATTTCCAAAATTCCAATGATACTAGCAACATTGGCACATAACAGGAACATAACCATTACAGAACCAGCGAGTTTGACCTGCCATAGTATGCATGTAAATGCTTCTTTTCAGTTTTCCTAAAGGGTTTAATGCTAAACATATTTAGTTTCCATGGCAGTATAGTAGTTCCAAATATTCTCAAAATCGTTTAAAACCTGTATATAGTGGACGCCAACAATATTTATAAATTTGATGATTTTAAGTTCAGGCATACTCAAAATGTTCACCAAAAACTAAAATTTTATTTTTTACATTTGTTCTGTTTCCATGGTAAAAGTGACCATTTAAAAAATGCCATACCCCGATTGCACAATTTTATATAGTGGTCTACATTATAATATAGTTCCATCAATACTGTTCAAGCCAATTCTGAGAAATAGCATGGACAAAGAAGTGTGGAAGAATAAATATAATAATAATAATAAGACAAGATTTGCCATTGCAAGCAATAGCGGATGGCACCCTTCCCAACTTGCCACTAAACTGCAGCCATTTTGAAAATTGAAAATAGTCATAGCACTTAAATGCATCACAACAAACCTGTTTGTAAATTTTCGGAAAATTTGAAACATTTTTTATTTATTTTTTATTTTTGCAGTTTCCATGGCAACGGCGGCCATTTTCGAAATTCCGAAGTACGAAGTCTTATCTTCAATTATCAGTACAAAGTTTCATTTAGTTTAGATCATTTTGAAATTTTTGGATACTGCGATGTTTCCATTGTAACGGTGTCCATTTTGAAAATTCCAACAACAGTTGCAACATTGACTTATGCCATGTTATATCTTCATGATGTTTCTTTGAGTTTGATCTTATATTCCTTTAGAAAATGCTGGTTTGATGTTTTTTCCCATACGGTCAATGTTACATTTTTCTCCAGTTTCTATGGCAATGGCAGCCATTTTGCAGAAGCTAAGTACTGATGGTACATCAGGGCACCACTGTCAACATTTGCATAAAGTTTCATTAGGTTGGCTCTTAAAACAAAAGATTTAAATTTTCGATTTTTTTTCACATGTTTGCAGTTTTCATGGTAACGGCGACCATTTTGTACCATTCCAATGTCTTTTGCACAGCTTCACATGGCGGTTCATATTATGGTATAGTTCCATCGACAATGGTCTGACCAATTCCGAGAAATAGCGTAGACAAAATGTGTAGAAGAATTAAAAAATGACAAACTAGTAATCCTGT